AACTTTTATGCAAATTATATTGTGCTACAATATTTTACAAGCACTTGTTTTCTGTTGCATACTACACAACCATGCAATCAAACTAGAACTCAACAAGATAAATGTAGCGTCCATGGTGTTTTCATCATGTTGGATTGGCTATTTTCATAAGTTTTTTTTGTGATCAATGAAGTTTTATTATAGAAAAGTAAATGTTAAAAATTCAAAAATTAAGAGATAGTATTGATGATTTAATAGTTAATATCTATTAATTATCCAACATAGGGCATAGATTCTGACACGCCAAAAAACCTCTATTAACAAAAAAGATTAAGTGGAAAATCAACATATAACAATTTTCATTTAGAAAAAAAAACTAATTAAAATAAATTTAAAAATGCTTAGGTGGCCACTAATCAAATCGTCTTAATCAAATTTTTAAAAGACACAAATGTTTAATAAAAAAATTGTAGAAACAAAGTGGGGCGTTCTAATTTTCTCTTTCAATAATTCTAACGTTGTACAATATTTCAAAGAATAATATAAGTATGTGACATCTCTTTCGATGGCATTATTTGACTATTTTTCCCATGATTAGAGAGCCGTCTTTCTTGAAATGGATCTTTAATTTGTCACTAAGATCTTCGGACGACATTTTAAAAAATAGATTTAGAATTTAAAAAAATAAGAGACTAATCTTAATAATATAATAATTAAGGTTAACATGTAAACCATGTTAAGTGGTAGCCGACAAGCAAAAGCTAGCTTCTCATAACAATATAAAATTATTCAGATTTGGAAAATTTTATTTAACATTTCGTACACAATATCTAACTACAAAACGTTTGGGAAAAAAAATTCAAAATATCAATACCTAACACCTCATAACACGTGAGTAATGTTGGTACATTTGTTTGAAAATGTTGCATAACATTTTGGTTTTTTTTTTAACAAATGATATTATCTATACTACGACAAATGGGGTAGACTTAGTTTCACAATTGATTAGCAATAATGCGGTTCAAATTCGTCTTTTACAAGAATCAAACATACGACCTTTCACTTACAAGTAAAAATGAATACTACTAGACCGTAGTACTAAATAACTGTATAACATGTTCTTAGAAAAGCAATATAACCGTAGAAGTCAATATATGGGTCAATTCCTCCCGATAAGATTTCAGTTTATTATTTAAACAACTTTGTGGATTTGTACTCATCAGTTTAAAAAAATTTGGAGATTTTTTTATTATTCTGGTGAACTTCGAAATATTGATGAAGGTTTTTGGAACTAGACGTTTGTAAATCCCTTATTAGTATTTTTCGACGAATTTGAATTTAAGATCTTAGCTATGACTACGAGATATCGTAACGATGTTATGTGTCTAAAAAGTTATAAAAACCAAGATCCCAAATAATTAAACATCAAATCCTCATAAATAAAAAACTGTATTAGAGAAAGTTTACACTCGTATACTCTTGCACTTCTTTACTAGTTATATGATCCATTTGGTTAGGGATGTCTCGAAAATGCTCAATGAGTGGATTGTTGGGATTTAACTAATGGATAATGTTTGTATCCCATCATGGTGGATTTGTCTCTCCACTTACAATTAACGAACCATTATCGTCTAAACATCATAATCGAACTGTTCATTCTCCTTATTATAATTTAAAGATCTACAAAAAATTATTCAATTTGGAGATCTTTTAACCATCTATATGCATAAAACAAATGGATGGTTCATTATAAGGATGTTACTTATTATCGAAACTGTTGATTGGTTTAACAAGTATGGATGACTAAATGATCTTCAAAGTGAATGATTTTTTGCATATATGATCTTTAGACGATGATAAAGAAAATAAATTGTTTCGATTATGATACTCAGATAATAAAGATTCGTGAGTCGTAAGTGGGAGACCCAACCATTATCCTTAACTTTGTCCTTTGATGTGCATGAGAGCAAAGCTATCTTGTACTTTGCTCACCCGCACATTTTTATTTTACTTGTGAAGAGATTTAACTAAATCTCAACAATTCGCTCATGAAGAAAATTGTGCAGCAAAAAATTTCCTTTTTTTTTGTTTTTTGTTTGTTTTTTTGTTTTTGAGGTCAGATCTCTTTTATCATGTGTTTTTCCTTCCCAACTCAATATTTTGCTATAACCAAGGGTCCAGTTGCATTAAGGGTTCCTCACAATATTTCAATACAGGTATGTTTATAGAACTGGATCAATGTCGGGACTGGCCCTGATAACAATTTCTGAAACCCTAGACTGCGTATGCATGCGTACGTACGTACGTGAATTGACTGAATGTGACTGGACATATACATATCGGTCCGTGTTATGCTGTAGGCCGAGAGGTAGGGGGTGGTGGGCTTACTGTCTCATAATATCACATGCATATATCTATCTTTAGTCTTCACAAATAATATTATTCCCAATCCATTTTTGGCAACAAAAGCTGACCCATCGTCTATCACCTTGTATATGTTTTCCTCTGCAGTGACTAGACATTGTGGCAGCCCTTCTTTCAAACCCTCTTTTCCAGCTTCCATTGTTCTTTCGCCTTTTTCATCAATTCAATTGTCATCTTCTTGTTGGAAGTTTTGCTTGTGTACTACTCCCCTTAGCATATACTTGGAGTCGGAAGGGAAATGGAGGTGTCTGACCACACGACATTCGTACGACAGGAAATGTTAAGGAGCCTATCAAAAGTAGAACTCTTTATGGATTTTTTGACATCTCATGTTTTCGTCATAATATTTCCTAATGTTGACGCAAGAATTGACATAAAATTGTGAGGTGACAGAGAGTTTCACCTTTAGAGAGTTTCCTTAGCATTTATTTTTGTAATATACTTCTCACAAAATATGAGTTATCTTGAGTTTTGGTCTCCAGTCTCACGTGGTTCCACCATGCATGAAAGTTGTCATTGTTTTGTTTACGCCTTGGATTATTTTGGGATTAATGGTAAAAGTGTCTTAATCTTGAAATAAATAGTATATGATGATTTTGTGTGGACAACCTTGGCCATGACTTCCCAAAAAATGTCAATTAATATGGAATTTACTTACATGAGAATGACATGATGACTCATGTATTCACTTCATGAGTAACCTTTAACTTAGACAAAATATAAAAGTTCTCATCCATTTCTTCCTTAAAATGTCTTCAATATAGTGAATAGTCATACCTTAGTCAAGTATCTCTATCAAACGAGGCCTTAGTGTGCTAATTATATCTAACAAAAGTGCAAGAAAGTACATTAACTAGCAATCCTTTTGAATCAAGATCAAGACATAAAAAGCAACTAACATCTTTATATCTTTTATTGTCTTCCTAAATAAAACGCATTTTATTTATTTTATTTTTATATTTATTTTTTTAAAAGATGATATTATCTACACTAATCGGGAGGGGATGAGCTTAGCCTCACAATATGCTCACAATAATTCGGTTCAAATTCGCCTTTGGCGAGAATCGAACCTAAGACCTCTCACTTACAAGTGAAGAGGAATACCACTAGACCGTAGTACTAAGTAGCAACATATTTTGTTAAATTAAAGGATCTTAATTAACAAAATTTTAATTTAAAGACCAATTCTAAACCAAGCTCAACGTTTAGAGACCAGTTCTAAATTGGAAAGTTCCGTTTACACCCAAAAGTAACATCTGGACACCCTTATATTATGGACACCCAACTTTTTACTCTTGACTTGGGTGAAATTTTAAAAGTAGCCATTAGGTTTAGTGAATTGGGCAATCTCAACCGTTAAAGCCCAACAGGCTTTTTTGAAAATACAAGGGGGGCGATCTGTTTGCTATGGGTTAAGTCCAGAACACAATATTGGGCCAAACCTAACTCAACTATTTTCGATCCACATGAAGCCTTTGCCACCATACTGTCCGTATTATTCAGATATTCTTTTAATATAAATCCACTGTGTACTCTTATATAATTTCTCAACAAAAGAAAAAAGGATTAGATTAAAAGAAAATTAGTTAATCTAATCTTTTTTTTTATCTTCACCATTGTTGGTGATACCTAAACCACTTAGGTAGGGTTTTTTTTGGTCCAAGCTCTTATTTGGTGCGGAGAAATTAATCCAATTTGAGGTTGTTGATATTTGTACTAATCAATCGTAGAAGGAAAATTCTAATTCATTTCATTATGATTAAGCTTCCTTCCTATTAATTTGGAAGTTCTTCTCAATATACAAGGAAATGGTTCAGTTATAGAGCCAAAGATTGTTGTTCTCAAACAAGCAATCAAAAAGATTTTGGAGCATCCTTGGGTTTAGATATTTTTCCTCCAATGATTGCAGTACCAACTACTTCTTGGCGAGTTCTACTACGATTAGGTTCATATAAGTACTACTCGACCTTTTGCACTGGCGGTAGATGTAGATTGTCATGATTCAAATTGTGTGGAAAAAAAGTGACTTGGGCAAAGTAAGTGCATTGTTTAAAATACAGCTCCACACTATATAAATTGCCACACATAACTTAAGGGAGGTCATACATATAATATACTTACGATATATAACATCTCAATACTTGATTTCTAAGATACTTACGATATTGAAACCTCGAGATTGACATTACTTACCTATTTGAATGGCAGATTGAAATTTTGCATTCCCAATTTCCTCACCCTCTTGAAATCCAAATACTTCGTCAATCTAGGGAGTCTAATTCCTTATTTCGTGTGTGCTCCGCCAATCTCTTGATTCCTTCCAGGTTAGTAAACGATTTCGTAATCAAAATCCAAGTCCCTATATTTATTCTAATTACCGAAACATAAACATGCTATTAATTGATTGCGTTATATTATACAAAGTTGCATGAAAGATTTTGAGAATACGTTCGTTAAAAAGAAAAATACGATTGCAAATTTGCAAAATTAAAAATCAATACGACTGAAGATATACCAAATGCTTGGCTGAGATTTCATTTTCATGTCCCTTGAAACCCAAATAAATACATAGCCTACGTAAAAATACCAACAAAAAAATAAAGTAAAAAAAGCAGACCAATATGAATGGCCACTGAGTCACTGCTGTTCCCAAAAGCAATGGCTTCGCTCTGTTTCAACTCGCTGCCTCTTCCTCCGCCTTCCCAACCCCGCAAACTCTCAGAGTCTCCTCTTCCTCCTCCTCCTCCTTCTTCCTCTTCTTCTTCTTCTTCTTCTTTTTCTTCCAATTCTCTGAATGTTAATAGTTATGGCAGCAGAGGAGAAGCCTTAAAGCCCATTGTCGTCAGTGGCAGCCCGCCCACCTTTGTTTCCGCCCCCGGCCGCCGAATTGTCGCCGGTTCGTTTCATTTGTATTTCGTTTTACATATACTTTCGTATGAATGTTAATTTATAAGCGATGAAAGATGTTTATTTGGTTTTGTTTTCTCTTCTTTGTTGTTGTTTATTTAACTGTTTCAGTTGAATTTTAGATTTTAGCAATTGGGTTTGTCAGTGACTCGGTATATGCTCTATGTTGTTGGATTAATATTTAATTTTTGTTCAGTTTTGTGGTTGAATTTGCATTTTCAAAGTTTGTATGAACAATCCTAGCTAACTAGTCAAAGTACCAGTTTTTTTTGTTTCTGCTGAATACCTGACGATTTGATGCTTGTGTATCCGTTAACCCGTGTTTTTCTGTGTCAAAACTCGCAGTAATGGATCTAATTTGGCACATTTTAAGTTTTTAACTGGCCATTGTAATTTGGTATGTGTTGGCCTGAAGCTATGCAAATGTTGGAATTGAATATCTGAAATTATGAACAAATTCTTTCTAACATGTCTGGTTGATCAGCACTATCTTTAGCGTTTTCGATATCAGGTTCAGCTTGCAGGCTTACTTTCCATTATAGCATTAAAGAAAGGACGACCCCTAGCCTACAAGGCTCCCTGCTTTGCGAGGGTGGGGGAAGTCTATCATACGCAGCCTTACCCTACAAAACCCTTGTTTTTTTGCAAAGAGTCTGTTTTCACGACTCAAACCCGTGACCTTTCGGTCACAAAGGAGCAACCTTTCCTTTCCGTTGTGCTTACTTACCATTATTCACAAATATTTATGGCTTTGTGATTTGTGTATATACAGTTGGGGATCTTCATGGAGACCTTGGCCAAACAAGATGTGCACTTGAGACAGCTGGCGTGTTGAGTCCTGATGGTGAAGATGTATGGATTGGTGGAGAAACGGTATACCTTTCATTGACATAGATCTGAACACTTAAGGTTCTTGCTATTGTCTTCACCAGGCACAAAATTTGTCTTTCTGTTTCAAAAGCTAGTAACTTTTGAAGAACATGGGGATAAGCTGTTTCCTTGTGTTACTTAGGTGTTGATTCAGCTTGGAGATATACTTGATCGAGGTGAAGATGAAATAGCGATTTTGTCCTTGCTGAGATCCTTGGATATGCAGGCAAAAGCTGAAGGCGGAGCAGTTTTTCAGGTTTGTGTAGCAATTGGAATATCTGCACTGCTAGATAAACTTATTTGATGCTTTAATTACACTGTATTTTCCATCCCGATTTGATTGTTGAAGAATGTGTTAACCATTCTGATACACTGATTTCATGAAGGTTGGTTCGAAAGATGAGAATCCGTTACCCTTTGGTGCAAATTTGAGAAATTGATATGTAGATTGTTTCCTAATTAATATTGTTGACGGTCTTCTCTGTAACGATGTAGGTCAATGGGAATCATGAGACTATCAATGTGGAAGGGGATTTCCGATACGTGGATACTGGAGGATTTGATGAGTGTCTTGATTTCCTGGAATACTTGGATGACAATCGAGATGACTGGGAAGAAGCTTTTGTTGGCTGGGTTGGTGTCTCTAAAAGGATGAAGGAAGAGAGGAAAATGCCCCAAAATTATTGGGATCCCTGGAATCTAGTGAGGGTACTGAATCCACTGTTCACTTTTTATTCTTTTCCCATTCGGCCATTACTATTTTTTAATTTTTCTTCTGATAATGTTTTCTGAACATTAGGACAGAAGCAAAAAGGTGTGATTGCCAGATCAATCCTATTAAGGCCAGGGGGTCCATTGGCACGCGAGTTAGCACGTCATGCTGTTGTTCTTAAGGTTAATGACTGGGTCTTCTGTCACGGTGGTCTTGTTCCTCAACATGGTAAAAACAGTACTACAATCTGAACAAAGCGGTTTTCTGGTGCCATTCAAATTTTTAGAGAAGTGTATATATTTCTTGTTCCATCGCCTGATAGGAGTATTGCTCCTTCCACAGTTACGTACGGAGTGGAGAGGATGAACAGGGAAGTATCTGACTGGATGAGAGGTCTCGTTGAGATTGATGACAACCCTCACTTCCCTTTTGTAGCCACCAGGGGCTATGACAGTGTGGTTTGGAACCGATTGTACTCGAGAGACACTTCAGATTTAGATGACTATCAGATTAACCAGGCAAGTAAATAGCTATATTTTGGTTCCCTTTCCATATTCAGTTGTTTTGTTACTTGGGGCGACTTAAAATGAAAAGAATCGTTGCTGCGTTTGACTATTGGTTTCAAATTGCTTAATTATGGAGCTGATAGGGGATTATCTTGGAAATGGGAAAAGCCGGACTAGTTTCAGAATATTCACTAGCATATAAATCGATCATTGTTCTAGCGATAGGGGTTTTCTGCAATTGTTTTGGTAGTCTGATTGATTATTATTCACTAGCATATAAATCAATCATTCTTCTAGCGAGATTGGGAATCAAGATTGAGTTCTTGTCCTCCCTGAATGTTGTCTACTGCTGACTTCTTTGGCTTTTGAAATTGAAATCATCTTTCAGATAAATTACATTCTTCAACAGACGCTACAAGCAGTTGGTGCCAAGGGAATGGTGGTGGGGCATACTCCTCAACCTACGGGGGCAAACTGGTACGATGCCAAGCTTTCTGTCCAGTTCGGATCATTTATGTCAACCTAAAGTACTTTTGTTATAGATTCAGTTCTTGAATTATGGATTCTTCTTTGCAGTGAATATGACTGTAGCATATGGCGGATTGACGTGGGGATGTCCAGTGGAGTTCTCAATTCAAGACCCGAGGTAAACTTAAGTTTAGCTACTTTCATGCATTACTGTCGGAAGCTATTTTGTTGAACGTTTAACAGGGATTAAGTTCGTTGAACATGTAATTTTAACTACGTTTTACAGGTTCTAGAAATAAAAGACAATAAAGCAAGAGTTATAAGAAGCAAGAAGGATCCATCCAGTGAATTGACGGTTGTCGATTATATATAGAGATGAGCAAACAAGTTGTTTTCCATGGCTCAAATTGTTTGTACAGAAGAAGAATAGCTTCAACAAAGGAGTAACGCCATTTTTGACCATCTTAAGAGCAGAAGCAGAATAGCAGAAGAATAGAGAGAAAAGATGCCACTGTATCATACATACCCACAAGCATTCAACATTCTTACTTTAATTTAATCTAGTTGAACTTGGTTTTTACTATTCATTCATTTTGAATGGTAACTGCAGATTTAGTTTATACTTTATAGTTACCATGTACTGCAGATGTAATTGTAATTTTCATTATTAATAAATTTACTTTCAGATTTACTAAACCGAGCACGGTGACGTTTTAAGATTCATGTAATGGGTCTATTTAGTGGGATAAGGCTTGGTTGTCGTAGACTCTTTTTTAAACTGTGCCAATAGTTGGGAATTATAACCGCAAGAGTAAATTGTACAAATGGTCCCTCAACTTTAATCAAATTGGAGCAATGGTCCCTCAACTAAAAATCCATTACCTTTGGTCCCTCAACTTATCAAAACGTGCATCTATGGTCCCTCAACTAAAAATCCATTACCATTGGTCCTTGAACTTTAATTCAAGTGGAGAAATGATCCTTTAATTTTAACCCAATTGTAGCAATGATCATTTTAATATAACTCGTTTTGACAAATTTTTTTACATAGTTGACGAAAAGAACCATAATTATACACTTTGATGAGTTAAGGGACCCTAATTATATAAATGGTCATTCCAACATAGCTTATTTTGACAAAATTTTGACAAAATTGATGAAAAGGACTATAGCTACATATTTTGATAAGTTGAGGGACCAATGGTAATGGATTTTTAGTTGAGGGACCATTGCTCCAATTTGATTAAAGTTGAGGGACCATTTGTACAATTTACTCTAACCGCAAATGTTAAATCGTTGGATTGGTATTTGACACAGACGTAGACGGAGAATTTTTGGTCTGGCCAAGACGTTTAGGCTGTGGGCGGGGTTGTTGGTCCAAGGAGAGAGCAAGGGAGAAAAAGAACAGACGAAGCGAAAGTCTTAGCAGTACTGTGTTTTCGAAGCGGGGTGTTCTCGTTAAGATCTTTTTGTGAGGTGTTTAGTCGAGGTGAGTGCCTCCTAGTCCAATTAAAGCTAGTATGTGCGGATAATAAATGCGGTACTACACTAACTCTTAGTCTAACCTTGTCCAGCAAAAGGTAGTGATGGCAAACAAGGGAACCGGATCCCCTCCGGACCCAAATAAACCGAGCCTCCTGAGCAAAGTATATGAACCGTTGAAATTTGATCTAACGGTTACAAACAAGAGGTCTCTAAAATTTATAATAATTGTAGCCGTTGAATCAAATTTCAACGGCCTGAATCATTTAATCCTTAGACTTAGTTTATTTGGATCCGGAGGGGATCCGGTTCCGCAAATATGCACCCTTATCTTTATTAAAGGCTACAAAAATCTCACTTATGCTCAATTTTATAGAACTTTGATTTCTTTTTCGTTTACAGTGTTGATTGCTTACGATATGGAGCCCAAATTAGAGACTTATTACAACCTAAAACCTAAGGGATTAATCAATCCGAAACTAAAAACCTTAATATGAGTATGAATAGCAATTTTATGTTTAATACTTTTCTTACATTGCATGACAATATGACATCATTTTACAGGACACATATAATAGTTTTAACCATTTATTCTCTTGATCCATATAAAGATCACATCGAGAAAATTTCATTTGATTTTAAGATTGTTTAATCATCTCTATGTGTCGTTAGTAATGGTAACAATTAAATGAATTTCTGATGATTAAAACAAGACAAAAAAAGCAGTTGGACTGTGTTTTCTTGGTTTTGATGGCCAATTGGCCATATCCAACGTCTACCTTTGTAAACTCCGCTAACCTCGACACCCTCTGCGCACAATATCACTCAATCCGCCTACACTTTCTTATATGCACACCTCCCTGAGGCTTAACCTCCCCCACCCTCTTATCCTACGCACCTCACTCGCCACCATGGCCGCCTCCATCGCCCTCCCCTCTTCCATTTCTCTCAACTCCTCCTCCTTCTCGGGGCTCCTGAATGGCGCCGGAGCCCAGCTCGGCGTCCGAAACCTCGGGCGATCTAGAGTTTCCATGGCCGCCTCCGTCGGATCGCAGACTCTGCAAAGCGACGCCTTGTTCGCCGATTACAAGCCCTCCTCTGCTTTCCTCTTCCCTGGCCAAGTGAGATTGTTGCTCCGCTGCCATTTGATTTGTTTAATGTGAACAATGTCTTTACTTAGCTGCTCAATAGACAGTCTAATTTGGGAATTGAATTCAAAATTTGAATGCTAGTGATATGAAAACTTTGTAATTTTGGAAAAATTGTAATTGGGGTTAGTAATTGAATAGTTCAAAAGTGCTTATGGATCATAAAAGTACATTTTAGTGCAGGGCTTTTCCAAGGAGGACTTGGAATTTTATATATATTTGGACATGCTTCTGCTAGAAATGCTTCTTGCAGAAGCGCTTATGAGTAGAAGTACTTCCTACCCGGACAGGCCATGCGTGTTTGTTCGTTTGGAGTTTAATCATGTTATGGTGCTAAAGATAGAGAGTTCTGAATTTCATCATGAAACTTAAGGAATTGAATTCAAAATTTGAATGCTAATTTGACATGAAAAGTAAAAAGTTTGCAATTTGGGCTATAATTGAAGGGACTTGTTACTTAAAAAAGATCCAAAAGTGCTTTTGACAATGTTTTGCAGAAAAACTCAAAAGTGCTTTGTGGACATGAAGGTATTTTAGTAAGCACTTGGATTTTTGATAAATATCTTGACATGCTTTTAATATATTCACTTATTACAAAAGAGCTTATCAGTAGAAGTACTTCCTGCATAAGCAGTCCCAAACGAGCCCTATGTGTTTGATTGGAAATTCATCATGTTATGGTGCTAAAGATAGCGACTTTGAATTTCGGGTTGAGCTTCATTCTGTTAGATTGTTAATGTTCTACTGTGTTTGCAACTCAGGGTGCACAAGCAGTTGGAATGGGAAAGGAAGCTCAAAGTGTTCCTGCTGCAGCAGAGTTATACAAGAAAGCAAACGATATTTTAGGGTAACTTTAGATAGAGTTGTTTGTTAATTTTAGCTTAGCTCAGGTTAGGAATGTTGTAAAGCCTTATACAAGGAGAGGACTGATGAAAATGGTGAAAGGTATAGAAAAGCGAAGCAAGAGGCGAAGAAAGCTGTCAGAGAAGCTAAGTTAGCGGCTTACGACGATATGTATAAACGACTAGATACCAAAGAAGGAGAGTTGGATATCTATAAACTATCTAGAGCAAGGGAAAAGAAGACAAGGGACCTAAACCAAGTGAGGTGCATCAAGGATGAGGATGGAAAGGTTCTTGCTACAGAGAACGCGGTTAAAGACAGATGGAGAGGTTATTTTCATAATCTTTTCAATGAAGGACATGAAATGAGTGCTTCTTTAGGGGAGTTGAGTAACTCAGAAGAGTGTAGAAACTACTCCTTTTATCGTCGAATCCGGAAGGAAGAAGTGGTTGTAGCTTTGAAGAAGATGAAGCATAAAAAAGCAATAGGCCCAGACGATATACCAATCGAAGTGTGGAAACTTTTGGGAGAGACAGGTATAACATGGCTCACTGACCTTTTCAATAGGATTTTGAAAACGAAGAAGATGCCAAATGAGTGGCGAATGAGCACTTTGGTGCCTATCTACAAGAATAAGGGCGACGTACAAAATTGCATGAATTATAGGGGTATTAAGCTAATGAGTCATACAATGAAGCTCTGGGAGAGAGTCATTGAGCATAGATTGAGGCAAGAGACACGGGTTTCGGACAACCAATTCGGGTTCATGCCAGGGCGCTCAACCATGGAGGCAATCTATCTCTTACGAAGATTGATGGAAAGATATAGAGATGGGAAAAAGGATTTACACATGGTCTTTATAGATTTGGAAAAAGCGTATGATAGGGTCCCAAGAGACATTCTTTGGAGGATTTTAGAGAAGAAAGGAGTACGAGTAGCATATATCCAAGCTATAAAGGATATGTATGAAGGAGCAAAGACTGCCGTAAGAACTCATGAAGGACAAACCGAAAGCTTTCCCATAACTGTAGGATTACATCAAGGCTCATCCTTAAGTCCTTACCTTTTTGCGTTGGTAATGGATGAGTTAACACGGCATATTCAAGATGATATTCCTTGGTGTATGCTTTTCGCAGACGATATAGTGTTGATAGATGAAACTCAGGAAGGGGTAAATGCAAAGCTTAACCTTTGGAGAGAAGTGTTGGAATCTAAAGGTCTTCGCCTAAGCCGATCAAAGACAGAATATATGGAGTGCAAGTTCAGTGCAAATGGAGGCCAAAACGAGTTAGGGGTGAGGATCGGAGATCAAGAAATACCAAAGAGCGACCGTTTTCGTTACCTAGGATCTATCTTGCAAAAGAACGGAGAATTAGATGGAGATCTCAACCATAGAATACAAGCTGGATGGATGAGATGAAGTGGAAGAGTGCATCCGGCGTGTTGTGTGACCGCCGTATGCCATTGAAGCTCAAGGGAAAATTTTATAGGACGGCAATAAGGCCGGCGATGCTGTATGGCACAGAATGTTGGGCGGTGAAACATCAACACGTACACAAAATGGGTGTAGCGGAGATGAGGATGCTTCGTTGGATGTGTGGGCACACGAGAAAGGATAAGATTAGATTAGGAATGAGGATATCCGGGGTAAAGTAGGAGTAGCCGAAATTGAAGGAAAGATGAGAGAAAATCGGTTACGGTGGTTTGGACATGTGCAAAGAAGGCCTACTGACGTTCCGATTAGAAGATGCGACTATGGGACAGAGGTTCAGGGCCGAAGGGGTAGAGGAAGACCTAGGAAAACTTTGGAAGAGACTCTAAGAAAAGACTTAGAGTACTTGGATCTAACGAAGGACATGACACAGGATCGAGCACAATGGCGTTCTAAGATTCATATAGCCGATCCCACTCAGTGACTTGGATTTTCCAAGTCTCCAACCGAGAAGTTTTCCTCATTCGGGAAATTAAGAGAACACTACCCCAACCTACATGCTCCACTCAGAAAGCTTCAACATACAAGCTTTAACAAAAGAAAATTCAAAGAACTTAGCGAAGAAGGCTTTGGTGTATTTAACACAATACGTTGAAATGAAGGAAAGCTTATTTATTGATATCCCCGATAAGCTACAAATATGTACATATACATGAGTCAAAATAAAGCACACAAGAGGGAGCCTTCACAAAGGTTGCTTAGGAGAAGTCTCAGCAGTCGGTAGAG